GCGTCCGGGCCCCCTGCCTCAGTTTCCCTGGATACGAGGTGAGGCTGGCCCTGTACGGACGCCGCGGTGGGATGTCAAGGCTCGATCCGTGCCCCCTGCTAAAGCCAGTTGCGCTGCAGATCAGTGGTTCTCAGCCCTGCTCCCCGTTCAGGAACCTCAGTCTCCAGCCCGGTGTCCCAGGGCTGGGGCATGTGACTTAGCTTTACTGACCTGATTAGTCAACCCTGCTTTGCCACCCCTTACTGCCTGCTCTTGAAACACCCCTCAGCCTTGTCCTGTGATCCCTTCGGGGGGTGACTCCTAGGATGAGAAACACTGATCCAGAGGAGTTGACGTGCCCCCTGGAAGGTCTCTGTGTACCCCCAGGAATACACGTTCCTCAGGGTGAGCGCCACAGCTGTACAATGCCTGTTGGACTCTCCGTGCAGCTTGGAGACTTTGAGGGTTTGCTCCTGTTTGTGGCTCTGAGATAGCTAATGGTGCCTCCTCTGCTTCCTTTCCATGGATCTGCCGCAGTCCCAGGAGGGGAACCCAGAAGACTGGACCATCCAGCCATTGCAGGCCCCTTGTTTGAAATGGAAGAGCCCGGCACCAAGATCCCGGCACTGGAGGCCTTTCGTGTAGAGCAGGTAACCAGCTAGTGAATGGGAGTAAAGGAGGGAGAGGTTGTAACGGGGGGGGGGGTAGCCTGTGGTTGTCCTCCACTAGTGTAAAACCCTCGCCTGGATAAGAAAAGTGCTGTGGAGGGAGGCCCGTTCTATGCGTGGAAAGGGAGTTCAGGCTGCGAGGTGCATTCAGCCATTGGGTTCTCTGCTCCCATGATGTGGGGAGTGGAAGGGCAAATAGCGTAGATCCTACTAGTGGGTTTGTCTGAGGGGCACCTGTCTCGCTGAGACCCAGCAAACTCATTGCATGGGGTGTTTGCAAGGTTGGCATAGAACTTGGTGGATAGAGCACTGGGCTGGCAATTGGGGGACACGGTGTCTGTTGTTGATTTGGCCTGTGAGGTGACTTTGGGCAAATCTCATTCCATTTCAGTGCCTCAGTTTCCCAGTCGGTCAAATGGGGAGGATGACCCTGGCCTCCCTTTGTAAAGTGCTTTGGGGCCTACTGACGAATAGCTGCTGGTGGTGTTATTAGTATGTTTTGATTGCAGGCTCCTCCAACGGTCTATTATGTGCCAGACTTCATCTCGGAGGCGGAGGAGGCCTGTCTCCTGCACCAGGTACGTGTGATTTCCACTGGGTTTCCTATCTCCATGGTATAAGAGGCCTGCTGCTGCTCTTGCAGGGAAGAGTTCCCTGCCTGATTCCGATAAGAGCAGGCTGGTTTGTCTGTTCACTTCCCTTTTGATCTCGATCCCAGTCCCTTCGTGCACAGACAGACCCAGCCTTTGTAGATGTGGAGTCCCCGTGTCCTCCCACCGCCCACCCCATCCCGGTGCGATAGGCCCAGTAGACACCTTACGTACATTGGCGTGTTACAGTAGCACCTTGAGATCTCAACTCAGACCAGACCCCCTTGTGCTGGGCGTGGCACGGACCCAGAGCGAGAGGGACAGTCCCTGCCCCAGAAGCCTAGCAGCCTCCGTAGGTGGGAGGGGTCGTTAGCCCCATCGACTATATATTTTAGAGAGTCTGCCTGTTTGTTCCAGAACTCCTCCTAAAGGGGAGGAGCTAGGAGCACCAAATTCAGTACAGGCAGTTCCGACTTATGTCAGATACGCAGTTACGAACAGAGCTTTTCTCGCCCCGGAGGATGGGAGCGGCGGGATGCCCACATGCGCCGTGGTCCACCGCCCCCGTCCTCTGGGGCGAGAAAAGCTGCTCCCCATCTCCCTGGTCTGCAGGGAGACGGGGAGCAAAGCCTTGGAGCACGCTCATAGTGGGACAGCACAGGTGCGCTT